GTGGCTTAGGGCACTCACATTTGGTGTAGGAAACACTCCAGAATCTGGAGGGAGGCGTCAGTTCTACAATACAAGGCAGCCCCTAAAGTCAGGCCAAGCCCACCTGCCCCAGGAACTCCAGCTTAGAAGCTCCTTGCATGCCCAAGCACCACCCTCTCTGGCCTCTTGGGCCAGGCACTCACCACTGGCCACTGAGGGACGTTGGGACTGCAAGCGCACCTTCACCACGTCCAGGGGAGTCACTGGGGGGAAGGCAGTTCAAAGACCTCCTTTCAGGACCCCATCCCAACTTCTTCCCCCAAACCAAGCTTCCTACCCTCCAGTTTAAGTAAACTCCAACCCCCTGTCTGCCTCAGTCCCCAGCTGCTCCTCACCCCACTACCCCAAGCCTTACTAAAGAGAGAGGTGACCACGGCCCCAGCGCCCGAAGCCACCATTTGTTGGACGGGGCTAATGCCCCAAGGGTCCTGGTCAGCCATCATGTAGTTTTGATCCTGAAAGACAAACCTCAGTCACATGGCGCATCAAATCACAGGACTCCTGGAACGGGTAGAAATGAGGCAGGGCACTTTGGGGCGTTAACTCGACCCTCAAACCCTCACCCATCACTCGCTGAAACAGGTGTTGCCTCAAATAATCCTCACAATAAACTTTTAAAGTATTGTCAGTTCTGCTTTGCCACTGGAAAAACTGAGGTTTAGAGATATGAGACCACCTGCCAAAAGTCGTTACGGAAGCAATTAGGCAGGAAGCGAACAAAGTAACCCGGGTTTACCTGGCTACAAACTTCACTTTCCTAACGCCATCACTCAATCCTGCCGCACACGGTCACTGAGCACCTAAGCGCAGGCGCCGGGTTTGGCCCTGGCTCCTGAAAGATGGAAACACCTAGACCACTTCCCACTGCTTCTCACTCCAGCCCCTAGCCCTGGGGCGGGCACATGCAAGCTCCAAGTCACCGGGTGTGAAGTGGGGCCCGGCAGCAGACGAAACTTGTAAACTAAGCTGATGGCAGTGAAGGGTCCGTCCGCCTTCTCGGGACTGCAGGCTGGAACGCCTGGCTCTCCTCTCCGTCCGGCCCCCGGCATCTGGACGGGAAGAGCTATCTCTCCGCCCTCTCTCCCCAAAATACAGGCCGGGGACTCAGCTGAGGAGACCCTACACAAGATAGCTCCTAGCTGACCATTCCTGCCCCGGCCCCGCGCGCAGGGCGCGCCCGGTGGGGCAGACGAGGTCGAGCCGATGGCCCGCGCCTCGCGTCCCCGGCCCAGCACCGGCTCAGAGATCCCCCGATCCCCAGAGGCCCAGCTCCGGTCTCCGCCCCGAGCCGGGCTCAGCCCCAGTCCAGCCCCGCCCACCTGGCTCTAGACCGGTGCTCGCGCGGCGCGGCGCCCAAGGCCGGGCGGGCCCATAGCGGCTCCCCCGCCAGTGCAGGAACCACGCGCGTTCGCCTAGCACCGACGCCTCCACCAAGAGCTGCCGAGCTGTCCCCACCCCCGAGCGCGCCACGAGGCCCCGCCCCCAGCGCCAGCCGCGGGCCGACGGGCCGCATGCCCGGAGGAAC